CGGTGGATGCCGCCACACTAATGGCATATTTGACAGGCTAATACTCCATTCATAAAGTTATTTCATCGGTGGCTCTTCTGGAACCGCTATGGGGGGTAAAGGGTTAAAAAAAACCATGGTAATGAATAAGCAATATTGTATGTTTGCTAAATAAAATTTTTATTGATTACTCTAATGTGTCGAGCTTTGTCTACAATTGTTCGAAATTGTATTATCTATGAATTCTTCTGCGGATGTTTTTCAATCAGACCTTGCGTTTGCTTGGAAAGTGATCAGATATAAAACTTCAATATTACTGTCATTTAGTATAGCGTTCAGAATAGCCCCACTAGAGTAAGCATGTGTTCATAATAGCCACACGTGGAGCTATTACGAACAAAAAATTTTTTTTTTGAGTTTTATTATTTTAATTACTGTTAAATCAACATAAAATAAAATAGATGAGTTAAACTTACCGATTGTAGTATAAAAGGTGCTCTATCTTTTGATGCAAGAATTAGTAATTAAACTTGATCCGATGATGAGTAAAGTGATTTACAGTGAAGCTCAAGTTTTCCAGCTATTTTGGCTGAGTGTTCATAATAGCCCCATTCTATCAAGCATATGTTCATAATAGCCCCACACGGGGTTATTATGAACAAACGACAGAGCTTCTAGCAAAATAGGTGATAAACGAATTGTGGCTGGTATTTTTTTAAAATTTTTAGATAGAAATGTAGAGGACACTTCAAGCAACATGTCAATCTTTTTTTTCTGAAAAATAATGAAAAATAAAAAAAGTTATTAAACTTTTCGCTTCAAATTTTAAAACGGCGTTCAGAATAGCCCCTATCTACTCTAAATGTTCAGAAAATTTCTATCATGCTTTGCCTTTGAGTAAGTAGTAGGTCTTTACACAGTACTAAAACGTGGCTGTGAAATGAAATAAATATTGCAGAAGGTACCGATCTTATAGTATCTTGCAATTTTTTTAAGTTGTCATTCCATAAGATGGTGTTTATCTTTTCTCTATCGGATTACTGTCTCCATTTTGTTCACTGTTCAATTTTTTCATTTCCAAATATTAGCCGAGACATATTCATAGAGTGAGTACCTCAGATCATTCGCAGTCATTATTTCCATTGGTTGTATAATAAATCGTGCCATTCAAAACTTGAAAAATTCTATCAGCTCATCATCGTTTTCACATTCATTTTCGGCATTATATCTTACCCTATTGTTTTTCGAATTGTTGATCATATCATCTGACGAGATATTGTCAGGCTTTCTATCAAGTTTGTAGAGAAATCAGCAGTGGATCTGATTGAAAAAATACAATCATAGAAATCTTTCGACATAGATTCTGTAGAAGTATTTTCGATTTTATCCGCACATGTTTTAGCCGATAAAAGATGAATCGACATTTGTTCAAAAAGTTTTGCTTCTCCGTTATGCTACGAATGATGGACATTGCATACTCTAACAAATGTAATTCAAAAATAAAAATTTTAGGTTCGGTCTACTTAGTTAATCAAGTGAAACAATTAATATGATCGTTATTGAAACTTTCCTCTATAAAAAAAATTAACGCCAATACTATAATAAACAACTTTTTTTTATTAAATATTTATCTTTGGAACTATTGGTTATAATAACATAATTAAGATTATCAATACGAATGAAACTAGCGAGAAAAAACTGACATACAAAGTAAACTAGACTTTCTAGACAAATCGAATATCAGACAGAAGGCACGTGAAGGTACGAAGATTGGGTAGTAGGATGTATAAGAAAATATCTCATAGAAATAGTAAACAAATCAAAAAACCTTGATAGTTTGATTGGGTAATAATGAATAATTTGCTCTTATACGGGGATATAAATTCTCATATCAGAGTTGCAACCGGTCAAGAATTTGTGAAGTAGTTCTGTCTGCTTAATCATCTCATGGAAATGGCTTCAAAAACCATTCAGTTTTCTTTTTGCACTCAAGTTTTGTATAAATCTACAGGAAAAACATGTTAGTGTGAACGTACTAATGTGGTTGACGAGAATATTCGCAGCAACAGCCACGGGTTCTCAGGTCGTCCACATTCACTAACATTCCAGATTTGCATTGGTATCCACACCCACAAGTACACTCACTCACCAGCATTATGTATCGTAATGTATGTAAAGTTTTCACTGGAATGAGAAGCATGTATGTAAACTTGGCAATATAAATGATAACTGTTTGAGTCATAAATGGGGTTTTAGATATGAAAAATATAGCAAAAAGTATAAATCTAGAGAATTTTGTAGAGTACGTTGTGGGTGTATATGAAGAGTTATCGCACTCACACGCACCCTCGTATTAAGCCTATAGATGAACACTCAGGTCAACGAATAGTATTATTTTTATGTTCATAACTGCTTTTCTTCATACGACCCATAAGCAAACCTCATTTTCTCGTATTCTTGAACACTGTCAGATGGCACCGTATCAGGAACATATCGTTCAACCTGGACAGTTTTAGAGCTATAAATTTAAAGAAATATGGAAAATGGTGAATTTTTCTAGTTGAACATTGTTAGTAATTCTGCAATAACAATAACGAGTCATTTTGGAAGAAAAAAAAATTTCAATAAGAACCATAGAATGATAAATAAATCATATTAATGTAAGTGTAGTTGACTTTAATTTTATAAATAGAAATTTTCGACTTTTTAATGTCCTATGCTATATATCTATGTTTATGAATAAATTTATGTTATAGATTAAAATTGATTTCTTTGATTAATATCATTTTATTGTTAGCATTATAGTTTGATCTTCTTGCTGTTAATGTTTGTTTTTCAATAAACAATCAGGCTATGATCACAAATAATATCTTTAAAAGGTGATGATGATCGAACTGAATAAAAATAAGGCGAAAATTTTTATTTATACAATAAAATTCAACTGCATCATTATAATTTATTTGTTCATTATTATATTGTTTCATTCAGTTTTTTTTCTTTCAAAATTACGTGTCATTGTCTGTGAAGAATTACACACTTGAAAATTTAATTTTCATCTGACGCCATTCATTTCTACCTTAGTCAATATAATTTTCATTGAGGTGTATGTTTATGAATTAGTTTATGTTGTGTTTGTCCGATTTCTATTTGTTGTTGTTTTTCTTGCCATAAGCAACCAGGCTAAAGTCGTAAATGATACCTTTAAAAGCTGGTTAGAACCGTACTAAATTAATATAATATCAAAATTTTCTATTTGTAAAGAATTATATGAAACTAAAAAATTATCATATGCTTCTCTGTTCTAATATTATAGACAAATCTTCGTTATAGTATACTGTCTTTTTTCTTGTAAATTTTAGAGACATTTTATAAACTTCCTTTTAGAAAATCTATTGTAAAATTTTTGATTTTGTTAAGCTTTTTATTGTTTTATTCAAATATGTTTTTTCTGTTTTTAATTGTTAATATGATAATAAAGAATTATACATTTCAAAACAACGGAGAACCAGATATTTTCTTTATTATCTTATTGAAATGCATAGGAATTCACTGTATTTTATTTTCAATCGATGTTCATAAACAATGAATATCAATAATAATATCAATGAATATATTATCATATTAAACTGAACTCTACTATTAGAAAATATCACCTATTCAAAAATAATTCAATGATCTTGATTAATTTTCAAATATCTATAACACAAAAAAGTGAGTCGTTATTGGATTTGTGATGAGAAGAAAATATTGTAGAACGTATTTTTTTAGGTTAATTTATAAAGATTCTTTTTATTTTACCTTATTATTAAGATATTTAATTGTGCCTTTTATTAAGAAAAAACATTATTTCAGTTGTCTTTCGATGAAACTCTTTCGCTCTAGTTTTTTCTTCTGATATGTCAGCAACATGCCAGGTCAGAAATGTTGGTATGCAGTACGAAATAGATTGTATTTATTCTATGAAGTCAAAATTGCAACTTGATAGTGGAAATACACATTCGATGTGTTATTGGTAAACAATAATAATAATCCAGGCTTTATATGCAATACAATGCACATCATCTAATTCGATTTAGTATTTGAATTTTATTCCAAGTGCGGAATAACATGATGAAAAACAATCAAAAAAAAATATNGAAACCTTTAGGGTTTCGTATTGAACCTCGAGGTTTCGTACTGGGTTTCCTATAAAACTATTGTACTAGATGCGAAACTTTAAAGGTTTCGTACTTTCCTAAAAAACCTTTTTTTGGTGTACGGAACTTAAAAAGGTTTCGAAGAAAAAAGGATCTTCACTTGGGTACACGGTAAGATCCTTTAAAGGTTCCGGGTTTTTTTATTCGTTTTTTGAAATTTTCAACACATTTGCAAACTTTTTGTCATCTACGGAACCTTTTTTTGAGGTTCCAGAAAGTACCTTCTTTTTTTTTACTGTGTACCTATTTAGAGTGTTTTGTAATGGAAGTGATGGAGATTATTATGATTATATCTAAGCAACGGAGCAATATATTCAGCTGAACCTTTGTAGAACTATAGAAAAAGGTGTAATAAATAATTTTTCTAGCAGACATTAGACTAAATTTTGAAGTTGCTAAGCGAATATAACGCAATTTTTGAACTTTGCCCATTCTTCTATGTATTTATGCTGGTGAGCTCTAATTTAATGCAACTTTTGCATTGACGCTCTTATTGAGAACATAGTACTTATTTAGAGCGCAACCAATCGACTCTATACTACCACTCATAACTCGATCATTTCTCAACAAAAAAAAAAATTTTTATGAATAGATATACAAGACATGGTCTTACTTTCTCATAAGATTTGAGCTCATTTGCTCACTGCTTTGCAGAGATATAGAAGATGAAACAGGATCATACAAAAATCCCGCTACAATTAGGAACATGCACTCTATAGTTGCTAAAATGAAACCTGCTAGAACTGAAAAGCAGAAGAAAAATCTAAAAATCATCTCCTGAAATCAGAAAATTTGTTATCAGAAGTCGAAAATTCAGAGCGTCGTGAACAAATCATTAGATTTGATAGACCTTATGATAAGGTAAGAAAGAATAATGAAACGAATAGGTAGACAACCAACGAAGCAACACTTCTTATCGTTCTCTCTCTTGTGTAAGCGCGAAAGAATATCGATAAAAAATGATACCTCAATATATGTGATTTGGCACCAGAGATAATATCAACTTCTACATAGGCTACTATAGTTTTTCTTTTCACACACTGGAACTACGTATAGGTCTTGATTATTTCATATATCATTCTTTCGATTTTACTTTGCCTAATATTATTCTTGAATTTTTTTCAATCAAAGAAACGATAAATAAATAGCACTGCATTGTCTTTGCCACATTCATGTCTGTTCTGAGGTTATTACTGGTAATTTATGCTAGAAATAACATATGACGATCGGAAAAAAATTCATATTATTGATTAATTTGAATAAAAATAACGATATTTTTAGATAAATTTGAGTGAAAATTGATGTTTTCTAGGGTTTTGACATAACACTGATTCAATCTAAAAAAAGATCCGCTTTTTCTTCATTGATTGATTTCTATTGTTGGATATTGCTACTTGTGCAATATGCGCTAGCTAAGTTTAAGGATTGTCTAAATCAATTTTAATGAAAACTTATAATTCGAGAAGAATAACCAGCTGCACAATGCCAATACAGTAATTCGTAAAAATTGAGAGTAAATGGAAACATTTCAGAATAGCATGGAATGGATCGAAATGTCCGAATGAGTTTCTTCTTTGGATAGATTTCTTTTTAATAATAAAGCTGTTATGTCGTGTTTCCACGTTTTAATTCGGCAACAATGATGTTAAATGCTTTTTACTTATATTCTCAATTAGCAAATGACTTTTCAATTGTCAAAAACGTATTGCATGTTATGTAATAATAACTAATCACAGTTGAAGGTATGATTTATTTAAAATTTAAGACATTTCTTACAGAACAACTACTTTTCAACCAATTGTATGCTATCATGTATGATCATTTTATTATGTATACATAGATTTTGATACTTTTTAATAAAAGAAAAAACAATATTCTTCTTTAGTTTAACAGAATCATTCTATAGAAATGATGGTTTAATTTTTAAAATAATACTTAACAATAATTATAATATTTTTGTGTGTGGAAAATAGTCTTTTAAGTGCTGAGGAAACGTTGATTTGTCAGAAAAGTATACGCAACTCATTCTTGCACAATTAGTTCGTGTAGTATTTCTTCGAAAATTGCGTGTTACTTTTTTCGTTAGTCGATAATTCATACGAACACGAACACCATTTGGTAAACATATTTTGTTATCAAATAAAAATTGTTCATGATAATGTTTATGAGTTTGAACAAAATCAAGTTGAATAAGATGAAGATATTTAATTACTGGTAAATATTGATTTTCATTTATTGATTTTCTACATTGATTTCTCTTTTATCGTTTTCTATTAATTACAGTTAAGTTTTCCATTAATGGAAATGATTTCTGAATAAGAAGAAAAAATTCATGTTCAAATGGACGTTCATCAAATAATGATACTTCACGAACACATATAAATAATCCACGAGAAAACTTATTTGTTATATTATGATAATGTTTCAATTTATATGGTTGAGAATAAATATGACATTGATTATAATTCATGTCTTGGAAATAATCAACACAAGAAATAATTTTATTATTTTTAAAATTCTTGAATGTCTTTTGAATGTCTTCATTTGATGGTAAATTAACTTTATTATAAAAACGACTCTCAGAACGAATATTGAATGTAAATGTATTTAATTGTGCCATATGATCAATAACATTTCTATTCAAATCATAACCATCAACGAATGTTTTTCTTCCACAAACAAAAAGAGACAAATCAAGTTGTTCTAAATCTATCATTCGATGTAACAGTGGTACAATCAATTCATCATAATAAGTTGTACTCATATCACACTGCAGCGAAACAGTTCTTAGATTCCGTAAATTTTTCTATAAGACAACAAAAATCATTTGATTTAAATAAATAAAATACGAATCGAAATAATCCACCTTATTATCGATTATAATTCTCGAACTGCTAATTAAATTAATATGAACATGAAGTATACGGAGTTGATTAAAACGTCCATCAACTAAATAAAGAATAATCGATAAAATTTTGTAAACAGACATGCAATTCTAATAGAGTTGAAGTGATAACAGTTGACGGTGGAATAGAAAAAGCTAATAATTGATACCATATTGAAGATAGACCAAATTTTAATGATTGTAAATTAGTAAATGTACTTAGTATTTGAGTAAATAAAATTACATTAACATCTTTCGTTGATGTTTGTCTTCCATTTGTATCAATATCGATAATAAGTGATACGATTTGTTTTTTCAAGGTATGAGTGAAACGAGTTTCATCTAAACAATAAAACATTTTTTTTGAAATCATTGAAAAGAATATTTTCTTTTTTTGTTTTGATCTAAATATTTTCTTTTTTTATCTATTTTGATAGCACTATTGTTTAGATATGTGATGATCTTCTATCATTACAACTATATTCAATAAATTGTATTTTATCATTAATGTTTGATGTTTTGTGACAAATATAAAATAGTCTCATCTATTTTATTCGAAATATTCATTTTCTTAAAATTTCAATTTAAAAATCTAAATTGAAAAAAATATCGAGATCTTTTTTCTATAAACATTTCTTGTATTAGAAATGTTTTCTTCGACAAGAGCTTCCTATTCATCCATGATGACAATCAATAACAATAGAATACAAAATTAATTCAAGATTATTAAAATAAGTTATTATCTTACTAGTGGAATTTTTACTGATTCAAATCAATTCATTTGACTTTCACCTTTTATCTATTACTAATCATTGAAATAATCGAACATTATGTCTTACCAGAAAATAAATGCACAGCCCTCGCCGCTTGAATATTGTATAAAGCAAGTCCTGATAAATTAGGATAATTTGTAGCCAGAAGAATACATTCCATAGAAGATGATTCAAGATCAAGCCATTCGATTTTATCGTGAATTTCAGGTAAAATTTGTGTGCAAAATCGATCAACTAATGGATAAATAAAGTAACTTGATAAAGATCTAAACACAATCGAAGGACTGGGTATACGTCTCAATAAAGTAAAACGACTGGTAAATATAGAATCATGTAAAATTTTATTTAATCGTTTATTAGCACCGAATAATTAGTAAAGTAGAGTTGTATTATCAATTTCATTAAAAATAATCATAAGAATCTCATCAGGTAAATTGTTCAACTGAATAGATGAATATTCCATGTTCATTTATACCTATTTCTATTACGTTTATCTTAGAAATATTGCTATTTAAATAGATATACTTATATGTTCTAGTTGACGGACACCGTCAATGAAAACAATGATGCATTTCTCTTTAGCCTAACTCAACAACTATTGGTTCTACAGCTAAGGGGTCAAACACACTAGAAAAATTAAAATTGAATTAAGAAATTTCATTGGTGTTGCTAGGTAGGAACATCAATGAAATTTCTTAATTCAATTTTAATTTTTCTAGTGTGTTTGACATCTAATCGAATAATTTTCTTTCTTTTCCTCTTTCTCTCTCATTTTTTATTCAACATGCATCTCAAGATGTGAATTGATATTGAGAAAATCTCTTGACTTTTTTAATAATATTATACAGGATTACATAGCACTCATTTTACTCATGTTTGTGATAATTTAGCTATTTAAAAATGAAAAATAATTTTATTTTCAAATTTCGGTCAAATATTTTGAGGGATGGGATCTAATTCTTGTTCAATCAACTTTAGATTATTAAATCGATCAAATTATTTGTGGAAATGCTAAAACGAAAAAAAAACAAGTAAATAATTTGTGTTCAGCGGTAGAGTGAAGATACATCGTCATGGTCACTAGTCGCCTCTTGGCAGAATAATGTTGAAGATCGATTTCGAATGACTTTAACGTCAAGTTAATAATAGTTCAGTTGAACTATTTGAAATACGAAAAGCATGAATGGATAAAGATGAAGAGATCTAATGTTCAACTGAAATCGAAATATAAGCTCACGTTGGTTATTTCTATTAAAAAAAAGACTAGTGATAATTATATGAGAAACCTTATTATTTACCGTTTGGTAGAAGTACGTTGAATCCTTACTTCAATGAAAAATAGTTTACATTTTTTCATGAAACGGTAAGAAATAAATATGACAGTAGAAGATGTACGTTGATTCGATTTGGTGGGAATTGTACACCTGTAAAGTATATGTGCTATGGTTCTTGATTATTTTTCAAATTTATACTTGATTTTATAGAATTTTTGCAATGAAAAAAAATCAATATTTATTTATAACAAAAAATCCTGTTAACAGTTATCAATTATAACTTAATTACATTAATATAAAACATGTAAATATGTGCAAAAAATCTGTTCTAGTAACGAAGAAATTCTTGAAGTTTATTTGGTATTTTTTTCACTTGCTTCATCCATTGTTCTCAAGTGGATCTCGTTTTATTTTGCCATTTGATAAATTATTAGTTTCGTTTTCAATTTTCATTTTAATACTCAAATCAACCTAAATTTGAAAACAAAAATTATTTTAAATATAGAAATAAACATGGGTGGAACCTGAATTTTTGGTTTCTTCGTAGTGATTGAAGACGATATGGGTGAAATCATCACTTCTATCGATTTAATGCACTTGTCATTGACGATTCATTCAAAAAAGTTGTCCGAATAATAGAAAATACATTCATTTTAATATTAATTATAAAAGTCTATCAAATTGATCATCATATGTACCATACGTAGTTATCAGTTTTGATTGAGTTTATTTATTTACCTTTTCTTGAAATTTAATAAAAGCCAAAAACATATGACAACGATGATGAATAAGAAGAAACAAAGCAACAACCACAGACACTAAATTTTACGTATCTTTTTTTATTTTGTTTTACAAATTTATTGTTGTGTTTCCTGCTGAACTTCGATAATTTACATCTACAATAAATATTTAATAGAAGAAAAATTGAACCTATTGATCGATATGTTTCAAATACACACACTCTTCGATTCGCTCCATCTCTGCAAAAGAAAAGAATTATAATGAATTTTTTTTAAACTTAACCTACACTAAAGATTGTTTTTCATCGGTAGATATTGATCATTATCGCTTTGTTTACTTAATACTTTCACATTGATCTAATCAGTAACGATTGATGAAACTAATCTAACACAAAAAAAAATGATGAACAAGAATAAACCTAATGAGTTTTTTTTTAATCAATAAAACGTTTCTTCATGGAACTTAAGAAAAAAGACGAAATAAATTTTAGTCAAATTGAATAATGTTTGATGAAATTGTGTATCAAAAAATGAACTAGTAAAAGCAAAACAAAAGTTTACCAAATTCATTCGTTAAAAATACTTACTAAGCCATAGACGAGATCAATTCTTTAAATAATCTAAAATAATGAAATAAGTGCAATGAAATATGATAAAACTTAATGAATTTTGATTAGTCGTTATACTCAACGACTGACTTATGCATTGTTTCTTCACCTCAATGTGTTCGAATCCAATCAACAACAAGATCGATTTCTCGATTGATGGTATCGATTAAAGATGGAAGATGAACAAATTTACTAAAAAGATAGATGTTTGTTTGACAAAGGAAATGTGTCAATATTAACATACTTTTTCTTTTTCAAGTAATCCTTGAGATTAATCCTTATATATTTAATAATATTATTATTGTTCTAGAATAATAATAAAAAAAAACAGTTTAAAAAGTATTTTAACGATTCTGCTTACTTCCACTTTGATCACGAAAAAATCGAAGTCCTTATAGAATGTAAAGACCATAGCTGAATTTAATATTGAATACCAAATAATAATTTGAAACTCGTTGTTTTTATTGTATATAAAACGATTCGACAACTTAAAGAAAACTTCATAAAGTTAAAATGAGTTATTTTCCTTACTGTATTTCCCACCATCACAAAAAAATGTTTTTCAATCATGGCATAGTGAAAAACGCTTATGAAATATTCTCATCGTTCTTTATAAAATTTAATGTAATGCTCGTGAATAGTTTGAAGGTTTGGAAATCGATTCATCTAGAATAAAAAAAAACTCATAATCTTCTAAATGAAACGTAAGTTATCGGTCGAAAGTTTTAGAGGTTATCTCTGAATTGATTTTAGCTCTAGAGTACAAGTTTACAAGGTATTAAGATGACTGCGCTTCTATACGTTGATTTTCAGGTAAACGAAAATACAATAATTGATATGGTTCAATTAAGGATCAAACAAAGTCTATCAGTGCTCATTTCATATAGACATGTAGCTCTTGAATAGAGCTTTTCAGATGACATAAGAATGATGGTGATCTGTGTTAGTCAAGGCAGCATCTACAAGTTTTTTTTTGATAGTTCTACGCATTTTATATGAGTTCGACAGAATTAAGAACAGGAAAAAATTCCGCTGCCTATCTTTTTTTTTAGACAAGAGAAAAGGTATAAGTACTAATCTTTCGAAAAAATATACCAGTGGCTAATCCATGTCGAGATGAATAGTACGAACAAAAAGTTGTTTGCGTTAATGTTGTTGCAAAAGTAAATATATTAAAACTATACATTAGATCGCCATTTGAATAAACAGAAACAGTAAATAATACTTAAAATATTAAAACAAGAAAGAAAAACAGATTACTTAACGTCGATAGAGACATCTTCTGATTTAAATGATATTTACAAAGAATAAATGTAGAGGAATTTTCATGATTGATTATTCATTCGTTCACTCTGACGTAATTTTTTTTCTTTTATATATCTAATAGGTGGCGCATAACAAATGATCTTATAAGTATTTTGTGAATATATCTCACTCGTTGATGATTCGACTTGATTTTTTTCAAAAGATAGCTCGTAAAGTTCCCTAAAAAAGCTTCATTAATAGAGTTCCCAAAAAGCATAACTGGAAGCTATATCTGGTCAACAGTACAATACTTTAAAAAGTCTCATTTTCAAAATGACTTTTTTCATAGCACCAATTATTTTTCTTCATCTGACTAAATAAGCTTCAGGCTACTCTAAAGGAAGTTTACTATGTTATTAGGCGTACTGTTTCTAATGGAACTTAAAAATAATCTCCACATAAGTCAATGGCGTTCTGCGAGCTAAATTTGTTGGAAAACAGGTTCGAACTGCTGACTACTCTCCCTGGCATACCACCGGCAATTTTTCTAAAAAAAGAATAAAAGAGGATCTCCATTATAGAAAAAAAGAGGATTAAAAGAGGTACATGATTTAGCTTATAAAAGGATAACAAAGGCTCGGGTAAGGACCAAAAGTCGATAAATTAGCACGCTGTTAATCAGCGCTCAATGCTGCCTCAGAAAACTCAAGACATGAGA